AATAGTTTTTATTAGGAAAATGAAATCAGTTGAAGAATTATGGACAGGCAGGAAACACTAGACAAATGTTAAGTCCTAGTTTGAGATTTACCATAACTAAGCCGTTATCAACTTCCCTGGGACGAGAGATAAAACAAAACATTTCTCGAGGGGATTATAGAGTGAATTCAGTTAAAAAATACTTGAAAACCAAGGAGTACTTAGTATTTATATCGTCCTTATCTTTAGCACTACAGCCGTGACTTTTGTTGTTTGACCTCATGAAGAGTGAGGCAAGTGTTAAAGATGGTATTGAATGGTTGTCATGGAATGTCAAGAGTTAACTAAGCTTAAATATGTAAAGCTCTGGATTCCGAAGCAGTATTCTAGTGATAATCGATTTACCAAGTAGTCGGATAATATTAATTTCAACTGTTGGCAAAATTATAAAGTAAGGGTTATTGAACCACCACAAACAAAAACAAAGGAACTATCTAACATTTTCTAGTTTTTAACAGTATGCTAACTAAAGTTAGTTCATGAAGTAAATTATCTTCTAGTCAAAAAATCTCCATAAACGTCTCAATTTGAAAATACTATAAGTAAAATAATTTTTTTTAAACATAAATGACCTATATATTATCTCTTAATATAAATATTAGGATTTACACGACCTACATTTTTAGTCGAACCTAATTCTATTAACATGTACGCTAGGAAATATATTGTAATGAAATTATTTCTCAAATAATTAGAAAGTTACAGACTAAAGTCAACCATTCAGTTGAACTGTTGGGTTCATACTAAAAACAGGAAGCTGACTTGAAATTTCATTTGATGATCACTATCATATTTAGAAAAAATATTGTATTCACACCTATTGTCAACAAATTTATATAAAAATAAACTCAAGAAGGACTAAAAGTTTGGATGAGTATGAATGAGTTATTTTATTAACCACTTCTAAGACAAAGAAAGGGTCTGACAAAATAACATACCTTATACGTGATGAGTTTTCTAGTCATAATCGAAGAATTGCTCAAGACTTTTTATACAATAAAAGTTATCTTGCATTTTTCGATACGTAAACAGTTTACAAAAATCTGTTGTTATTCAAAGCTTTTATTAAGATTATTTTATAAATTTAATGAAACAAGACTGAGAATAAGTGGGATGTTTATTTCTAAGTATACCTCTATTTATGAGTCTTCATTAATACTGTTTTGGGAATTAAATCATTGGAAAGGATTAATCAGCTAATTAGTTTTTCACTGCGAAAGCTCAGTCCCTTCGTTATCATGACTTTGTTTGTAGTTTATCGTTCTTACACGTTTTGTTGATTTTATGTGAATTTTATTCTCCATGGGTACTCTGTTCTGTTAACCTCTGATTATGTGACTAATTTTGCTGTGTAAACCAATACATGGGATTTATTTCGATGAGTTTAGAGGTATCAGGTTGGTCTTAGTTCCATGTCTATGGACATTCTCTGGAATCCTTAGAATTTCAATAATTAGGAATGCTAATACTTTCTAAATGAATGATCTCTCATCATTAGAATTTGAATATCTCTTTATAAGTTAAATCCTTTTATCTAAATTTTATCTTAGGAAAAATCTTGTTCCGTAAAATCTTAAGTGATGTGCACCAGTTTTGTAACATTCTGAACAACGGCTTATCTTACTAAATCTTGAAATAATTCCTAATCTGACCGTTTCTTTATTGTAATATGTTAATCTAGTAATCATGGCTTTTTTAAATTTTAAAATTTATATAAAGCAAGGAAAACATTATCTGGATCCCTTGAATTCCTTATATTTCAAGGCTTCCCATCAGCTAAAAACGTCTTGAATTTACAATAGTAATATTGTTGTTACGCAACGTGGACATCCTGAAGGCGGTGAAAATAATTAACAAGTAGCAACTACCGCTCTTACTTTGCCCCCAAATGCCCTGGTACGGCCGAGAGTGGGAGAGTCCGCTCTCCCTCTCGAAATGCTCTCACATGGCCACGCGTATATCACCCCTGCCATGGTAGTCCTACTCATTGCCTTCTCGTGGCGGGGATTTTGTTTACGAAATTGAGAGGACGAAAAGCGAATGTTTGGCGCTTTAACCGGGTTGGTGGACACGGAGGGTCAACCTAGGACAGTTAGGAAACCCTGATTCCAAACCAATGGTGCACATGGGCTCAAGGATCCTGAGGGGACAAATGGCGTATGAACCAATTGTTGGTCACCGGCTACTATGGGACTGCATCTCCATATGGTGCTCCACTGCCTCGTGGATCAGACCTTCAGGTCGAAGGCTCCGGGTGTGGCCCCCCAAGAAAACCATCTGATTCTTTTTGGGCACCCGTGCAGTATCACAGCCCTCACACATATCAAATGAGATTTGTGTGGAGCATATGTATTTGGTGCCTCCTTGTGTTCAAATAAATAAATAATCTCTTTGCAGAGGTAATTGTTATCAAGTACTTTCGACCTGACGTTTGTATACAGAATGTATAAACAACTCATTACCGTGATAAAATAGTCATATTATTTTCAAGTCTATCAGTTACACCATTTATTTTAATTTATGAAGAAACCCCATTAAAATTCAGTTACGGTGTTAACTTGGATTTCATGTTAACCAGGGCCTTCAATAGCATCCCTTAGTTAACAATTTGTTTTTATTGATTGCCTTTTTATTATCACTTATAATCTCAACCAATTTTGTAAATAGTCTTGTCTTGAATATATCAGTAATAATCAATATTATTATGTTCAATATGTTATCTTCTGTTCTTGTTTCTCATATTTTTTTGAACTAAACTCCATTAATTACGGTATGTGAAAATCTTTTTAATCATATTCCTAATGCATATTTAATGTCTATAAATATCTTTGTTTTAGAGTAATCTATATGCCTGAATTTTGATGTCGACTTACCAGTACTTAGTTATCATGATTGCTTCTTTGAAAGTTTGATCTACTGGGAGATATGTTTCTTAGAAACTCCCTCACGTACGACAATATCAGCAATGATGTTTTTATTGAGTAGTTATTTTGACGTCCCTTACTTTGTTACTGGATTCACTTTAAAATTTAGGGAGTTTTTGGTCTTTATGGAATTCATTCACGTCAACAACCCTTTCCACTATCATGAAAATAATGTCTGGAGTATTTTCTACCTTTCTGGTTTAGTCATTCTTTCAGTAGCACCGTATCCTTCCTGGCCACTATTATTATATGGGTTCCGGTTCTCTACAAAATAAATCATTAATTTGTCTCCCTACGTGTGTGTTTGAATAAACTCCAATCGGTCGATGATTTTGTGCAACACTTCATTCATTGTCTGTGGTGGATAACTGTCACACATCGACACTGACTGTACCCCAGTGTTTACGGCTTTGGACTAAAAGTCCAGGAAATCTATCTTAAAGCCAGTCAGTAGTGGGCAAATGATTATTGTCAAGATGGAGATTTGTGGAGTTTGTTGTATTTTCATAGTTGAATCCATGAGTCGATCTAGAGTTTAGGTGTTCGCGCGTGAAAAAAAGGTCCTAGGTTCAAGTCTCGCGTGCGGGGTCGTGAATGCGCACTTCTGAGTAGTCCCATACTGGGAAGAACCGGTCGTCCAGTGCTTCCGGGGTTTCAATGTTAGTCTAGCTTAGATCAATTCATAAAGTCAAATGTGAAACATATTTTTATACAAGATTTAAGAATTAGTAGTATAGATTTCAGTTTATTATATAATTGTGAAAAGGATTTCATATCGTGGAGCAATCTGATAATTATTGAAAGTAGCTAGTCAAGTTAAATCAGACCTCAGATGAACCTATCTCAAAAGGTAATTTGAAATATTCTGTATCAAGTTTCCTTATTATAATCAAAATATGTGACGTGTAAAAAATGTTGTCTTCTGCACACTTCACTGAAAAACATATATTAAACTGAATATTCTATATTCTTTTTATGGGTGTTGAATAGAAAACAGTTCTTCAATCTTTAAATGGCAAGAAATATTACTGGTTTCATGATGAGATCTATTTACGTGCTTGTAAGCGATAGGAAAGAACCAATGGGAGGAAATGCAATTTTAGAGAAAGGTCGTTAGCTAGAAGATTTTAAATGTTACTACATCAGTCTCTTACTAACGACCGTAGCGTATCTAAATATGCAACAGTGATACAAGTTTCCTATTAAACATATTACACCAATCAGAACATACCGACATACATAATTCCGCAGTTGTTATTTGTTACTATCTGAAATTTTTCACGCTCATGCTAGATGACTGAGGTAAATGAATCGAAACTAAATTCATGACAAGGTTGTACTAATAATTTGGAATGATAATTTGTATTTGTTTGTAAGAAATACTAACCATTAAATAAAAATGATATGTTGGCTGCAGAAGAATGGTCACCATGTTATATGAATATTTTTAGTTTTTTGTTAACAACAATATAGAATCATGCATTAAAGATAAGTATCTTATTTTTTTCCACTTTCCATTTTTAAGGAATAACTGGTGCATACTTTAAGCCACAACTAAATCCCGGTTTTTCTTCCCAATATTTCTTCAGTCGCCACGTTGAATACGAACCATAAATGACTATTATAAAAGGAATAACTACCAACATCTGAATAGTTTTCATTTCCGGTTTCCTACATATATCTAATTGTAGCAAATATACTAATGGGAATTTCCCTAGTCAATGGATTAAGATTAGACTTTAGTATTTCTAAAGAAAACCTATGAAATCTTAACCTATATAAGAAGAAAGTGTTCTTATCAAGGTTAATGATGCTAAGCAATTATATAAGTAATTATAATTATAAAAGAAATTATTACTTACCCAGCAAATGTTGTATACAATATGACAATTATCACAGCCAATAGAAAACAAACACCTAATGTTACAAATATAATATTTAAAACTTTTCTTAATCTTGGCATTTGTAAATCTTCTAACTCTTCACCATTACCATCATCTTTGACACGTTTATCTTCAAGAAAACGTATTAATCTATCTAATTTACTATTTTTCCGTGGTCTGCGAAACGTCTACGTTTTTTCTCTTTTTCACCATTTTCAGCTGTTTGTGCTGAATCCATAAATTCTGCATTATTATTATTATTATCAATGAGTGTATCATTCAACCGATTATTTGTTGCCGATACCTGATTGGATAACCGACCATTTAGTCGTTTAGACTTAGTATCTTTATTGTTGTTAGCAGTAGTGGTAATAATCGTGTTATTAGTATTATCTGCTTGTGTAGGTACAAAATTATAGTGTGATAAATCTAATGTTCCAGTAGGTGAAGGGAATAATAATGATTGTTTCTGATCTCCTCGTTTTCCATTAACAAATTTTATTCCAGGAGAATTAGGATTCATTCAGTTGACAGTTGATTTGTAAGATTTCGTTGATGTTGTATATCGTTGATACTAGTTGAATTTTGTGAACGTAGATTGTTAGACGAGACAGGTGTTGGACTGGTTTGATGACCTTTATAAGAGGCTGGAATAAAAAATTGTGGCACCTTTTTATCACTCATTTTTGTATTCATAAATTCAAGAATAAGAGAATAACAGATAATTTACATTATAATGTTAAAATGTTTTCATTTTTTAATCAGAATAGTTAAAATTGCATTAAACATTCCTGCTAGTAAAGAATTCAACTGAAAGTCATTAAAGATAAATTATTTGCTATCTTTTCTTTTAACTCATATCTTTTTAAACAGATTTAAGTGGACAAATAGAAGTCATTCATAACTATCGGCCTAACATTATAACCAATAGGAAGGCTTCAAGAATTATTTCCCTATATGATTGGACCAGAATAAATAACTTGTTACCTGTAGCCATGTCACTAAAATTGATTATTAGTGTTTTGTAGTTGACTTTGAAACTGTTTATTCACTTGCTAGTCTAGACGTGATAAGTGTTTGGGAGAGTGAATAGTTTTAACATTCAAAAATATGCAAATTACTATTGTGTTTTTAAATCGTGAAAATTTACAAAATACCATTTATTCTATTTAATAATTCATATATAACACACAGCTAGAAGGTGAAATTGAATCATGTCTTGCTTGTTGGCAGAAAAAACTTTCAATTATTATCATTGTTTTTGAACAGGAGTATTTTAGTAATTGATTAAGTTATATATCTGGAATACTACATTTAGGTTAAATAAAAAGACGTGAGAAAATAATTGCATATTACACTCCTAGTACAATACCCTCTGATTTGTTTCTTTTCACTGTTGACCATTTTTACTCTCAAAACTTGACAACAAAAGCTAGGATCAATTGATGACCTTCTGCAGTATCGGTGGTTGAAGTAGTAAGGTCAGATGAAATGAAAATTATGTAACACATCATATTACTTTACGTTAAGTTTAGAATTTTGAAGACATAAGGTATTGATGATTATTTTCATCTTGAAGATATTTAGGTGTTTACTACTTGCAAATATGTGGCAGATAAAAATATTTTATGCCGAATTATCGGATACTTTACTGACCACTACACGTTATCTACTTCTACAAAATTCAAATACATGGTTAATACCAATGATTCTGGAACTGGTATACCATGCCAATAATAGATAGTGTACGAATATTGTACGAATTAACCCAGGTTTTATATAAAAATTACTATGGTAATTGGATGGCTTATTTTTAAATGTTACTGTTTGGTATGAAATACCACTGTACTCTTAAAATCAAATTCTTTGGAACTTATTAATTATAATCAAATTAGTTTCACGGCATATACTTTTCCTCAAATAATTACTTCTTTAGTTAGAACAAAATATTCTGTGGATAAATGTTTAAAATAATAGTAGTTCTAGATACAGATTCTTTCACTTACTAGTATGATAACACAAACTTATTTCTATATAAAAAAACGGTTAAGGAGACACGTCACCAAACTTAAAATCTTGTCAGTTCATTTGAATTATAACTATAAAATAATCTTATATAATCAGAATGTATAACACAGCGGTATTACATTCACTTGATATTGTTTACTTGAATCTTTCCATTGATCTTTAGGGCTCCAATTGATCAGTCACTTATTGGCATATGTGCATACTGTGAGCATTGCCTCGATATTGCTTTGATTCACATGCATTGTAAGTAAAGATGGGTAGTGACTAGTAGTGGTATCCAGAACGCACGTTTCGTCACACTTAAGACTCGTCAGCTGGATATACCTTCAACCGGAGTTCACAATATCAGGCAAAATGTTATAATATGCTAAATAATAAAACTAAACTTTTCTACAAATTGATTCATTAGAGTGACTTTAATTTCATGCTGTTTCTTATCTACATCATATGTGAAATTTGAAATACTAGTATAGGGGTTGTGGAGATTATTAAGTTTTTGATTGAGATCATGAACCGATTGATGTTAGACCACCACAATTGAAAACCTGGAAGCACTGGACGGCCGTTTCGTCCTATTGTGGGACTCCTCAGCAGTGCGCATCCACGATCCCGCGAGCGGGATTCGAACCCAGGGCCTTCGGTCTCGCGCGCGAACGCTTAACCAACTGGACCACTGAGCCGGCATCCAATGGTGATAGTTTCTAACATCAACCAATCCACGAAATTGCGCGACCAACTTCCGTTGTACTGAGGTAGATACCTGTCTCTACCCGACAAGGAAATATGAGATATTCAGAAAACTAAAAATAATTGTTGTGCATCATCAAATGGTCGTGCAATTAATGATTTAAAAAAGAAAGAGGATAATTTTCAAAATTTTTGTTATTGTATCCATGTGTTTTTAAGATAAAACAGAAATATATAATGTTAGGGAAGTGAATTAGTATTCCGTGACAAGGAGTTTAACTGTGACGAAAACATTTGACTGTTTATTTTCATTTCAAAGAGTGTTAAATTGACGATAAAATAAGCAAAGATGAATAGTGGTTAGCAGTGGGATCCAGGAGTTACAAATAGGACTAAACATCCGTCCTGGATTCCACTGCTAACCACTATCCATCTTTGCTTAGAATGCTCTTGAATTAAGGCAATATCGGGGCAGTACCGAGAGTATGTATATTTGCCAATAAGGGACCGATTAATTATAGTTTTAAAAATCAATGAGAAGATTCAGGTAAAACCATACGAAGTGGATTTAACGATGAGATGTTTCAAATTTTAAAACCAATATTGATGAGCTAAGACTCAAATTCAATCTAATCTCAAAAATTTTGATATGTCAAAAAATGAATTCATTTATATATGCTTTTTCTGATAATCTGATTAATGATTATCCACTTTGAAGGGAAAGCTTATGTGATAATTAAAAATATATAACTACTCTGTTTAACACTGAACATGATTCTTGTTTTGTTTTTAGTTCAGAAAACTGTCAGTGATTGTTCTTGTGATTTATTGCAGATATTATCTTGTAGAGGTTTATCCAAAGTTAATTTCTGTACAATTCTATGAGACCTATAATGATCACATTAAAAATCTGCTTTATTTTTCATTGAAATTTTGATTGCTTGCAAATTTCAGATAGCAGTGAGCTAATCATTTATCAATGATGCCAAATGATGGTCGTAACATACTAAAGTGAGAAGCTAAACCATTAAATTTTGACATAGCAGTTCGATGGTGTCATGCGTACTAACGGGGACTTGTAGAGCCTTCATATACAACCAAACACTTATCCGTATTATTCTTTCTTTTAGGTTTAATTTGTCAAAGTGAAACAATGAAGTGACCTTTCAGAAAATAATTATAGAATTTAGCCATTTTGTATAAAAATCAATTTTGAGTAAAACTACTGTGTATGCAAAACGTTTAGGCTGATAATTTTGGAATTACAGTCATGACTTATAAGCAACGTGATCCTACATACATTTTTCCATCAATTAAATGTACTAAGTAGACCTTAAGTTATTTGAAGGATAACCCCAGTAAAACATTTTTTAGTTCATATTTCCGTAATGACTATTAGTGTCAACGGACTAGTTGTCGTTAATTTTAGCTTGTTAATTTTGTTATTCCAGAATCATTTAGTGTTCCTATATAAACAGAGTAGTTTCGTCTTTTTTTTAATTTCGTAAGAAACCTTTCCTGAAAGTTTCATCTTAGCTTGTGGATTAATTAAGGATGAAGAATTATTGTGGATCATCCGTCTAGCCTAGTGAGTCCATATATTTTATAGTTGATATTAGAAGATTCTGACTGATTCAAAATTAGAAATTATCATTAGACAATAATCATTATCGTATTCTAAAACTTAATATAATGATCACCTAGTTTCATTAGTACAATTTTTAATTAATTTACAAACACTAAACTATCGAATATTTACTTATTTAACTTGGCAGAAACGATATAAGATAATGATAACCCTGACTTCCATTTTCATTATTGTTGCCAACTAAGTTTTTTATTAATTATTCAAGTCTAAAGAAAAACAAAACAAAAGAATAAATTGTAAAAAATTATTTAAGTGCTTAAAAAAGCTTATGAAAACTTAATAATCACTTGTTCATAAATTCCTAGAGAAATATTAGAGAACAAAATGAAATTTATTAATAAATTATGTGCATAAAATGCTTAAGAATTTAAGTTTTAAACAATATTTTGTTTAATAATTGAATTCATGAGTCGATTAAAGCTAGACTGCCATGGAAAACCTGGAAACACTGGACGGCTGTTTCGTCCTAGTATGGGACTCCTCCGTAGTGCGCGTCCACGATCCCACTTGTGCGATTCAAACACAGGACCTTCAGTTTTGTGTGTGAACACTTAACCTCCAGACCACTGAGCTAGTCAGAATCCAACGGTGTTTATGTCTGACTTCAAACAACCCACAAAATTGCCCCACCGTCCACCATTGTCTTCAGTGAGTTACTGCTTCACAACAGACACGGTTGAACTCCACTGGTCACTGCTCCTGACTAGAATTCTAGGAAATACCTCTTTAAAATATCAAATCAGATTTTTATTAATTTTAATGTTTGCACAATAAATTTAAAAATATTCCTAAGTCCTTCAGATTGGTGTTTCGGTCTTTTGATTTTATATCGAAATAATCGATCATAAGACTAAATCAATAATATCATAATACAGTCCAAGAGAAGTTATGTGTACACTTAAACAATCAATAAATAACGATTCATAAAACTTAAAACAAGTGAACAAGTTATCCCAATTTAAAAGTTATTCTTTTCAGTCATTATCTTATAAATGGATATTTTTTCAAACGACCTTGTCATATAATTCACTCATTTTAAACTCTTAAATGAAAGGTACCATAGTTTTAGCATTCAATTTCATCAAGTTTGATGGTTTGCTTCTGAACAACTAGTCATTTTTTATTGAATTCTGTGAGAACTTGACATGGGAATTTATCTA